TTTCTAGAATTCAATTATTTAAAAAAATTTGAATAAAATTCTTCACAAGAAATTAATTATTTTCATAAATAATAATATTTTTCTCCGGAATTCAATTATTTTTACAAATAAAATTCTTCACAGGAATTCAATTCTTCAAAAAAAATTTGAATAAAATTCGTTACAAGAATTCAATTATCTAAAAAAATTTGAATAAAATTCTTTATAAGAAATCAATTTTAAGAAATATTCAATTATTTATTTTTGTATTTAAATATTTAAATTCTCGAATAATTTACTAATAAAAATTGATTAAAAAATGAATTTCACTTAAAATTTTAAATTATAAATGAATATTCAAAGCATTAGAGCGTGAATTTTTAGAAATAATTGAATTTTGAAAAGGGTTCAAATTAAAATCTTTGAAAATTTGAATTTATAGTTACAGTATTCTGATGATATAAAATAATGATTTTATCACCCTGTCATCTTAAATTTGTTATAAAATATGAAGGAATTGATCACTCCGAGTCGATTCCTTCATGTTTATAATATTATTCACAAAAGTTATTGAATTTCAAAAGGTTTGAATTTAAAAATCTTAATTCCTTTAGAAAAATAATAGGTTATGATTAAATAATTATTTAAAAAAGAAATCATTGATGTTTATGAATAATTTTACAATTAAAGAAATTCGTAAATAAATGTAATACAACATTTTTTTGAAAATCTAATAATTTTTGGAGTGAATCAGAATAATCTCCAGGGACAAGGAAAAAATCAAATTTTTTTCTGGAAATCAGAGAAAAACAAAATTTAATTTTTGTGTCAACCCTGTAGAACTAATAAATTAAATGGTAAAATTTCACTGGAAATTAGTGAAAATTACTAGTAATTAAAATTAGTGAACGACTTTTCACTCAATCGAATTTAGATAGTAAATAATTAATAATAAAAAAATAATAGTATAAGAATAATTGTAATAATAATTTGTAATAATATTTTATAATAATAATTTATAACAATAATATAATAATTAATATTAACGATAGTCTCAGTTTTATATAATTTTTTTCCTCTTTCTTTATGATTAAAACATTAATTTTGAACATATGAATGTGATTCTCTCTCGTCCAGGGAGCGATCATTTTTAATTTCGAATAATATAACGTGCGCGCACGCGGGAGAATGGATAAAAGTGTAAAGAGAAAATGGACGGGAGATTTCACTATATGCAAAAAGGTTTTGTGTTGAGCCATTGTCACTTTGGTTTTTGTTTCTGCGATTCTAAAGAATCTTAGTGTCATGAGTGTGTGCTACGCGATTTATTTCGCGCGCGCCTCAAGAGCGACGGCCATCAAATTTTTCCCTATTTATATATATATATTCCCCGCGCGCGCTCAAATGTGAATATTCTGCATTTCTTTTTTTTCTCCTCTTTTACACAATATGTATATATGTACATAAAAACAGGAATTCAAAAATGTATAAGAGAAAATTCTCCATTTAATATATCCAATTTGAATACGCATAGATGGAAAGAAGAGAATAAAGAAGAAGAGATAAAGGACGAATGAAATTAGTCGGAAAAGCAGAGAATAAAAAAAAGATGTAAAATAAAAGAAAAGAGATGTTAAAACTTAGATTGTTACGCTGAGAAAAAAATTTATTTGATTAAAATAATCGATTACTTGACTATTAAAAATTCAAATACAACGGTCAAGTATTTTAAAAATGATAAAACTTTCAAAAAAGAAAAAAGAGAGACAGAGAAAAAAAAGTGTTTTAATACGCAACGAGCAAAAGTCGTTTTCTTTAGGTTTGAGAAAAAAAAGCTCTGGGAAACACGAGAAGGAGACTTCGGTAAGCGGCAAAAATACTTCATTAGGATGAAAGCTCGCTTCTTCTTGGGTAAAGCCTCTTCTTCTCCTCCAAAACTCCCTCCATTTTTCTACCCTTTTCTTTTCGTCTCTTCGGTTTCTAGTTTTTTATGTCACACACTGCTTTACACACACGTTCCAACATCCATCCACCCCAATGTTCTTCTATTTTTCCATTTGTTTTTTTACTTTTTCTTTTTTTTTTCCTTCTTTTTTTTATATACGCGGTGCAACAATGCACAGGGGTATTTCGGGGACGAGAGACAAAAAGGATTATTCCCGGAAAGAGGTGGAGGAAGGAGGGGGGGGGGGGATATTACGATCGATGAAAGAAGAGAACTAAGGGATGAAAAACAGCCAGTTCATCGCGTGTGTCTTGTAAAATGAATCACTTTATTCGAGGAGTATAAAATGAGAAGTCGCGGGGGAGTTTTTCGATGTTTTTTTGAATTTATTACATAGAAAGGGGTCAGAATTGACAAAATTTAGGAAATACAATGATTTTTTCAAGTACTATTAAATTAAAAATGGGATTTTGATTTTTAATAAAGAGATTTAGTTTAGAAAATGGTGAGTTTTCAAATAAAGTAAAAAATTTTCGTACTATTTTATTTTATAACTTATTTTATTTACTTACAGTTGATTTTTTATTTTTGACTTGCAACTATTTTAAATCAGGCTTTTTCTTTAATTTTTTCTATCAATTGTTGATATTTTATCTTTTTTCATTTGTCTTCATTTATTTTAATTTTTAAATCAAAATTTTTGTTAGAATTGTTATTTTTGTTAAAATGGTTTGTTTGTTATTTATTATTTGTTAGAATAGCTATTTTTTTAGAATTCCATAAACTTTATTGTATCCGAAATAAATTTGAGTAAAAATTAGTAAATTTTACTTTGGACATGAAAAATCTTCTTAAAAAATATTAAAATTTGCGATATTAAAAATTTTTATTTACAGATATAATTTTTATTGATTTAAAAAGAAAATTTCTTTTGCAGAAAGGCTAGAAAAATTTACTATACAACAGAAGAAAAATTTACTCAAACAATAATATTTTTTAATTAAAATTGTACTTTGAATTGTACTTGAAAACAATTTTTAGAAAAATTTTTCTGTACAAAAATAATATATAGAAATAGTAAAAGTTTTCTATTGAAAATCCTTACTTTCAGTGTAATCCAAAGTAAATTTCAGAAAAAATTGTTAATATTTACTTTAGATATGGTAAAATATTTCTCCCAAAAATAGGAAAAATATACTGTAAAAAATTTTCAATTTCAGAATAATTTTCAATTTTCAAAGAAAACTTCTTTAGGGTAAAAATTCGAAAAATTTACTTCAGAAAAAGTTAAATTTACTTTAAAAATATTAATTGTAAGTAACAAATTGAAAGTTGAAAGCAAATTTTTTGAAATTTTTATACAATAATAAAATATATGGAAATAGTAAAGTGTGCGCTATTAAAAATCGTTGTATCTCGAGAGTAAATTTTATAATATTCAAAGTAAATTTCACTAAAAATTAATAAAATTTACTTTGGACGTAGTAAAATTCTCTCCAGAAATAGTAAAATTCAGTATTAAAAATTTTTATTTATAGAATAATTTTTATTATTCCAGATAAAAATTTCTTTAGTATAAAAATAGGATAAATTTAATTTAAAAATTAATTACTTTAAATTTACTTTAAAATTTACTTAAAGAGTGGTAAAATTTACTAAAATCAAAATAATAATTTTTAATAACAAATTGTACTACAATTTATAAATTTTTTTATTCAAAAATTAAGTATGAAATTTCTATTAAAGATTGTTAGAAAAAATTGTTAATTCTAGAGTAAATTTTATATTATATTCGAAGTAAATTTCAGTAAAAAAAACTAAAAATTAGTAAAATTTACTTTCAGCTTAGTAAAATTTACTTTAAAAATAGAATTTTGAAAATAAAACTAAGAAAATAATTAAAAATATTTTTAATTTTCAAACAACAAAAGTTTTTCCAAAGTTTGCAGAAGGTAGAAAATTTCTGTCTTCAACGTAACTAAATTCTTTACTTTATACAAAATAATTCCAATTTTTGTGAGTTTTTTTTAAATCTGGAAGAAATGGAAAAAATATACATGTTTTTATGTATTTTAGAGAATTTTATTAATTTAAGGAGATAAAAAAGGAGAAAAGAGGCCAAAATTCTGTAAAATGACAATAAATATAAAAATTTGGTAAAAAAGAGATAAAAACTGCGATTCCGTCAAATCACTTTAAGACTAGTGTCGAAATTTTCAAACCGAATTTCTAAAAATGAAATTTGTCGAAAAGATTTTTAAATTCTTGTTGAAAAATATTTTATTGAGAAATGGGAAAAATGGGTTTATTTCCATGTTTTTTTTCTCTTTGAAAAATGAGAAAAGAAGTAGCTATTTGAAAAAGCTCTTGTACTTGGGAAAAGTTCTATTTTAGCTTGTCGAGAGTTGCTGAAAGTTTTCCGTATTCACTATATGGTATACGGAACCAACCAATAACCAAATTGAATTCCCGCTTTTTCCCCCTCCAAAAAAATAAAAAATAAATAAAAAAGAGAGGCTTTCCTTCTCTTTATATGCTAAAAAGCAACTACAAGCTAACATGAAATCTTGACAAGAAATTAGAAAACAAGAATATTCTTCGTTTCCTGCTTCTTTAGAGAGAAACATTTTGCCTCTTTATTTCTATTTTATTTTCGCAAAAATTGAATTAAAATAAATAGCTGCTTGATAAATTATGATAAAAAGATTTCTATTTTGTAGAAAGTAAGAAGAAAATTCACATTTGAAAATTAATTTAATGAACTAGGTTTAAATGTTTACATAAAAATATATTTCTCCTTATTTATTTTTCATATTTTTGACTCGTTAATTAAAAAAGAATTCGTTTGCACTTAACAAGTGTTTTTTATTTTCCTTTTTCTTTTATTTTTCAAGAAAAACATCAAAAGAAAAGAGACAATTGTAAAGAAAAAATTCCTGTGTTTGCGCAAAAGGAGAAGAGATGAAGAAGCATTTTGCATTTTTCTTTCTCTTTCTGTTATTTTGTTTTTTCTTTTCGTCAAGTAAGAAGAAATTTTTTGTTAAAAGAAAAACTGTGAAGAGGAGTATTCACTTACCGAGTCTCTTTGAAATCTCGCTGTTGTGCATCTTTGGATTCTCGTGGGCGATCTTTCTACGTTGAAGTCGCGACCAAACCATAAAAGCGTTCATCGGTCTTTTTATATGGTCCACCTGCATTTTCTTAGCCGCTCCCAAAGGGCTGCCTAGGCCAACCCCCATTGGACCCACGCCCGCACTTCCTGGGGGTGAAGCCCCCGACATTCCCTGCATGCCACGAAGTGTCTCCGAGAAGGCACCGTCGCACATATTGCCGCCGGCTCTGAAAAAGCAAATTTTTTTTATTTTTTTTTTCATTCAATTCTTCATTTTTTACTGTTTTCAATTGGTAAATTAAATTAAATTTCTTATTTCATTAAGTTTTATTTTTTTTTATCTTTTTTTAATTTTTAATTTTTATCATATTTTCTTTTAATACATTTTTTTATTTTTTAAGGGTTTTTCTAAATTTTCTCCATTGACTAAATTTACTTTTTTGAACTAATTTGAATAAATAATTCAAATTAAAAAAATCATTAAATCAATTTGAGTAAATAGATAATTATTCAGCTAATTCGAATAATTGAACAGTAAAACGTGAGGTGTTAAAATAACACCAGAATGGATTACAATAATCTGCAACAGTTTAATCCCTCTAGGATTAAATTAACACCAGAAAGGATTAAAATAATCTATTTTGGTGTTATTTTTAACTATGAATGAAATTTTACTTTAAATAAAACACCAAAGTCAACGAATTGTAAAAATTCAACGAATTTAGCTTCTCCAGGGAGAATAGTAACTTAGTAAGTTAGTTACTAACTTACTAACTAACTTAGTAACATAGTTACTAATTTCAATTGTGTTCAAAAATTTTTAAAAATTCTCTTCAAAATTTCAATTCTATTTATAAATAATGAAATTCTTCTCTGATATTCAATTATTTTACAAAATTTTAATCAAATTCTTGTCAAAATTACAATTATTTTCAAAAGTTTTCTAAAATTCAATGATTTTCAATATCTACTATTTCAATAAAGTTTTCCAAAAGAATTCCATTATTAAAAAAAATTTGACGAAAATTCTACGCAAACATTCAATTATTTTCATAAATAATAAACATTTTTACAGGAATTCAATTATTTACAAATTTTTTTTATAAATTTCTTCGCAATAATTCAATTACTTTCAAAAACAATAAAATTTTTCACAGAAATTCAATTCTTTTTAAACACTTTAATAAACTTTTCCGCAAAAATTCAATTATTTTTGATAATTATAATAAAATTCCTAGAAACTATTCAATTATTTTCATAAATAATAAAATTCATAGCAGGATTTCAATTATTTATATTTTTAATACAATTAATTTTTTTGAAAAAGTTTAATTGAATTTTCTTTCATATTATTTGAAGTTTTTATTTTCTAATATGCATTTAATTAAAGAATTTAGGAATAAATTGAAATTTCGTGAAATTGAATATTGTAAACAAATGGATTTAAAAATTGCCAAAGAACTTTTTCGAAAATTATTAAAAATAATAGATAGAAAGTAAAATTGCGTAGATAAAATTTTTTGAAAATAATAATTGAATTAAAATAATGAAAATAATTTTTAAGAAGTTATAGTAAAAATATACTTATATAATATAAAATAATGGTTTTATTACTTGGTCATCTTTAATTATTGTAAAACATGAAGAAATCGATGACTCCAAGTCGAAGACTCGGAGTTATCGATATCTTCATGTTTTACAGTTATAAAAAAATTTAATGAACTAAAATTTCATTCATTGTAAAAAATAACACCAAATAGTGAAAAAATTTTTTGAAAAATATGCATTTTAAGTATCAAATTAACCATTTTATTAAAAAATGAAAATTTTTCGCCAATATTCGAATTTAAAGAGAATGGGATATGAAACTATAAATAAAGGGAGAATTTGTGGGAAATTTTCTTGAGATGCTGATTATACGTAACGGGAGTATGGTGTGTGTATATAAATAAGGACTACGAGTAGTCATCGACATTGACAAGTAGTAAAAAGCGATGTCAGTCTCATTGTGTTTGCACAGAGCTCAGGGCGATCTCTCTCGAATCGACGTCTCAAACGTCATTCGCAGAAAACGAAATAAGCACCCGAGCGTTCATGTTCTTTGTCCTCTCGAGGAAAATTTCGATCCTTTCGTTTCTAGTGACAATCGATCATTGTGGAACAATAAATTATTATGCGATAACCCCTTATGCAATAATAAATCCCCCTTCTTCGTCTTAATGCGCATGTAATTCACTATTTTCGAAAAGCATTCTCATTTTTTTCACCTAAGAAAATTTATACATATTCTTCTCGAGAATTATTAATTTCAACTAGAGAATCAAATTTATTATTTACTATTATTATTTTATATATTTATAAAAATATATTTATTATAATTTATAATTGTATATTCATTTATAATTTGATTGACTAATATAAATTAATAATTCTCTTAACCTAATTTAAACACTCAGAAGAAAATTTGTTTGAAACAACCAATTTGCTATACAGTTAACCAAATTATTATTTATTAGAAAATAATTATTAATTTTATAACTGTTATTAATTTATAGGAATTATTTTAAGAAATTTTTTGCAAAGAATAGTCAATAGGATAAAGATTTAAAAAAAATTGTGAAACTATTGTAGCGACATTATTTCATGAATAATTATTAATATAAAAATAATTAATTATAGTAGTAAATAAAACATTAGAAATTGAAACTTTTTTCGAAAAAGCGATCGAAATTTTTGAAAAAATTTAATTTAAAAAGTAAAGAAAAGTAAGAAATAACGTAAGAATAGGAAAAGTAAGAAATAAAAAAAGAAAAGAAAAAGTAAGAAAAGAAAGAGTAAAGTAAAAGAAAGAGTAAGAAAAGAAAGACTGAAGGAAAAGAAAAGTAAAGTAAAAAAAAGAGTCAGGTAAAATAAAAGAATAAATTAAAAAAAAAGAGTAATAACGTAAAAAATAAAAATTTCCCAATAAAGTTAAACCTTTTCTTTTTGCAACAATGAACTCGACAGAGGAAAAAAAGTTTTCCCGAACTTCTAAATGAAGACAGAATTTTTTTTCCCCCCTCAACAGCAAAAGAAAAAGAAGAAAAAAAATCCTCACAATTTTGTGCCCATAAAAAAATGACGTTTTGTGCGCGTATTTAAATTAGTAAGGTAAATGTGATGAATTGTCAGTATGGTCAAGTGTTAACCCCTTTGAACTTCATGACCACTAATAATGCTACCCAGACAAACTTGCAAAGTGTTCGTTTAAGTCATTGCTAATTTATTGTTAGCGTCAACCTTCACTCCACGAGGCAATGCAAAATCGCATACATGGCAAAAAGAAAAATAAGCAGAAAATTTTTCTTCTTTGTAGAATTTTCCCAAACGGATGTGGAAAAAATTCTTTCTATAAAAAAATGTGGAAAACATTTTTTCCACATTTTTTTTATAGAAAGAATTATTTTTCTGAGATAAGAATTTTGAGTATTTTTGAGGTATCTATTTGAGTATTTCTGTAAGTATTTCTTTGAGTATTCCTTTGAGTATTTCTTTGATAATTTAGTAGGATAATTTTCTCAGCATTTACTTGAGAATTTATTTGAATATTTTTTTGAGTATTTACGAAATTTTTTTTGAGTACTTTTTAAGTATTTTCCAGAGTATTTTTTTTTACTATTTTCTGATTTTTTCAAAGCATTTTTTTGGGGTATTTTCTAAGTATTTTTCAGAGAATTTTTTTAAAGTATTTTTCGGAGAATTTTTTTGAGTATTTCCTGAGTATTTTTTTGGAGTGTTTTTTGAGTACTGTTTTCAGTACTTCCTGGGTATTTTTTAAGTATTTTTTTTATATATTTTCATAGCATTTATTTAACCAATTATTTGAGTATTTTTGAAGAATTTTCGGAGCATTTATTTAATTATTTATTTGAGTATTTTTTTACTATTTTTCTGAGCATTCTATTCAGTATTTTCTGAGTATTTTTTTCTTGCATTTCATTGAGTATTTTCGAAGTATTCGAGTAGTTATTTGACTATTTTCGGAGTATATTTTTGACTATTTATTGAGTATATTCTCTGTACTTTTTTTTGAATATTTTTGGAACATTTATTTACTTATTTATTTTAGTATTTTAGGAGTATATTTTTTTAGTATATTCTGAGCATTTTTTTTTTTTTTTGACTATTTTTTGGAACATATTCCAATTGTTTTTTGGAGTATTTTCGTAGTATTTACTTGACTAATTATTTGAGTATTTTTGGAATATTTCTTTTTGGAATTTTCTGAGTATTATATTCAGTATTCTCGGAGTATTTTATTTGACTATTTTTTTTAGTACAATCCGAATATTTTTTGAAACATTTTCAAAGTATTGTTTTGACTATTTTTTATTATATTCTAAGTATTCTTTGCAGTAATTTCTGAGTATTTTTTAAAGTATTTTCCAAGTACTTTTTTTATTATTTTTAGAGTATTATTTTCAGTATTTTCTGAGTTTTTTCTGAGTTTTTCTGAGTTTTTTCTGAGTATTTTCTGACTATTTTTCTGACTATTTTTCTGACTATATTTCTGACTATTTTTCTGAATATTTTTTTGAGTATTTTTTCCGAGTATTTTATTTGTTCGATTGTTTCTCAGTGACTAGAGTCGCGATAAATATGACTTGAAGTAAAACAGGAATACACTTTTTTTTTTAAATGAATATATGTGTACACTTGCAGTGACACGTTTCATTGACACGTTTGTCGCTACTGCGCAAGGTGTTGAATTTATTGATGCAGATGTCGCACACACCTGTGAATCATTAGGGACATCAATGTGTCAACAATGAATTTCATTATTGTGTTTATCTCGAGCCAAACACTCCTGTTTCTTAGACACAATAGTGAATCATAATTATCATCATCATTAATGTAAAACCGTTATTGCTATCGGTAACTATTATTATTCTCAATTTTCATATTTATATACATTTAATCGGTATTATTATTTTTTTATCTCATTATTATTGGCACTATTTTATTAATTTATTAATATTCTATCAATACTTTCATGATAGTAATAATTTATCAATATTTTCATGATAGTAATAGTTTATCAATGTTTTCATATTGTTAATAATCTATCAATATTTTCAGAATATTAGGATTTTATGAATATTATCGTGATATTAATATTTTATCAATATTTTTATCATATTAATATTACGCTAATATTGATAGTATTAATATGAATTTCATACGCTCT